TAAAGCTGCAGCTTTAAAATCGCTGTTAAAAGTGATTCTATCTACTGAGAATAGACTCAGAGGGTGAATTTGAAAGGACTTCACACTTTTCAGATTTTTGTTTGTAAATAGACTCGAGGAAGGGGGGGGGGGGTGTTTTCTTTTCACAAAACCCGGATTGATCTCTAACTGATGCTTTGTGATGTGGCCTTAAGGTGATTCAGTGCAGGAACGAGCTGATGCATTCGTGCGAGTTTCGGGTGAAGGATGACTGGATGAGGCACTACAGGACGACTCTGAAGCACTTTGTGCAGCAGCTCAGCAGCGTACCCCACATGCAAACCGTTGGGAGACAAATGGAAGATGTGAGCATGTTTCTAAAAACCACCGCTGCTCCTCTCACTCTCCTCTCATCTGTTTTGTCTGATGAGTTTCTCTGTGTGTTTTTTTTTTTTTTTTTGGTCCAGATGCTGACTGTTGATCTCTCCATATGTGTGTATGGTGTCGACCGACTGGACTCCGCTGGTACAGATCCTGATTCTGTCAGTGAGCAGGAGACCAGCCCTGAGGTAGTCAGCCAATGGGAGGCTGAGCTGCTGCAGGAGGTGTTGCAGGAGTGTCTGCAAGCTGCTAATGAGGAAGATGAGGATGCAAAGTCACATGTAGGCAGATCAAACAGCAATTCTTTTTCTTTCTTTTTCACATGTCGCACATCCCTTAACTCTCTGTTTCTTCTGTAGGACACGGAGCAGCTGAAGAAGCTGCGGGGCTTCCTCCAGGCTAACAAAGATCTAGGTGAAAGGTTTTCCACAGAGCTCCAAGTTATCAACTCTCTGGAGGTTAAAGGAGAAGAAAAAGATTAAAAGAACACAAAAACGCATAAATCCCTCTGCATGGGCTTGTTTGCATGGTTTGAAACAGGCCAGCACTCAGAATTCAAGTTGATGGATTATATATTTATTCTTTTGAATGTTTACATTTGTTAAAAGAATATTGTGGCGCGGTGCTGCAGAGAACCAAAGGTGTAACTATTACTGTCTGTGTATTGTGCAAATTTCTGCCAAAATATCCAAACATCGGTTTACACAGCAAAATAAATCGACTCAGAAACATTTTTGTTTTGTTTTTTCTTAGAAAAACCATAATGTGGCTTTACTTGGAGAGATTTTAATATGAGATTTCCCAAAACGTTAGAATATATTCACAGTTTTCTGTTTTTATATTTATGTGAGCTCCACCTTCAGCTTTGTTTCCCTCTGGAGGCAGATTTTCAAACGACCCTTTTGTTAATTTATCTCTAATCGATGTCAGTACTTTAAAAGTGATTACTCTTACAGAATATTTGTTTTTGTTTCTTATATTTTGCCCCAAAACTTCCCTTTGAAATCCTAATAGTACACCATCTGGATGTGTTATCTAAACTAGGCTAACAAAGAAGGCTAATACTTGCCACAGATTCATACACTAAAATATATCTTGCAAATTTGCAGCTTTTTGACAGATTTCTTCAGTTCCCTGCTGAATTTAAAGAGTTAAATCTCAACAGTCTGTATCCTGATTCATTCTTCAAATGTACTGTGAAGGCAGAAGAACAGATCAGGGATGACGTGGGGGAAAAAAATGCTTCTGAAAGTGCATTAATAATCTCCACTACACGCACATTTATTCAGTGCGAAGCACTGCATTGTTCTTACCTTGCAAAGTTTAGGCTGTCAGACATGTTTACGGAAGTGGACCCTGCTTGCGACCACGGTGGTCTGGCATCTGCAACTTATGCACACATCATGCGGTTTTGGTCCTTAGCTCTGACTCGTTCATCTATCCCTCCAAAGAGGAAGAAGGCTTCACTGCCTTTTTTCACTCATTTATGTCTAATTTTGTCAAAATGAAAATGGAATGGAAGGTAACGTGGGACTTTTCTATGACTGTGTAGAAAAACTGGACTTCCCTGATGTTCCTAATTGACATATGGTACACTGTTTTATTATCTTTTGAAAATAAAAAAAAATAATAAAAGTGTTTGGAAAAGAAACTAGTGCCAGAGAATTTATTTTTAGTTGTGGTAAGACTTCAGACATATTTTTTCTGTGAGTTTGAGTTTCTTCATATCCGAACAGGGTTATAGTTATATATTCAGGTTTAAATAAACTAACGCAAGGATGTATTAGGATAGTAGAACACTATATATATGAGCTGGATGATGATGCTTGACCTGATTTAGAAAAGGGGGAGTATTGGCCTAGGGCAGGGGTCTGCAACCTTTCATATCCAAAGAGCCGTTTTGCCCAGAGTACGACCAAATAAAAATTGTTTAGAGCCGCAAATAATACAATGACTTTTTCTAGAAAACCTTTTTAAAAGCTTGTATAGGAAATTAGTTGTTGCCATCTCAAACAATCAATTCATATATTTTTAATGTTAAAACATATAATTTTCAAGCTAATTCATAGAAAAATGTGTCTGAAAATATATTTCTGGTTCTTTTAAACTCATTCTCTTCCATCTTATAAAAAACGCTAAAGCTATTGATACCGGTATATATTATAGCAAATTATTTAGCTCTTTATATACATTTTAGCCAGTATTAAGAGCCAGTGGAGAGGGTCCAAAGAGCCATATGTGGCTCCGGAGCCGCAGGTTGCAGACCCCTGGCCTAGGGGTTAGAGCAGGGCGCTTGTGCTCTGAGAAGGTTCCAAGTACCTGGTTCGATCCCATCAGCCTGCACTCGGGCTCCCTGAGCAAGACCCCTAACCCTTGATTGCCCCCCAGGTGCAGCACAGTGGCAGCCCACTGCTCCCATAGGGGATGGGTTAAGATGCAGAAGTGAATTTCTCCAGTGTGAGATCAATGATGTTCATTTATTATCATTAAAAGAGAGACAATCTTTGACCAGCCGCTAGATTTCAGGAATATTTAGTATGTTGGTTACACCTTTCAAATCTCACTAAATAATTTACGTATTAATATATTGGCAGTCAGTTTATTTATGAAAACGAAACAAAAGCACAATGCCTCACTAGTGTTTATGACAGAAATGTATTCGATGATGGCAGCCTGGAACCCCCTCCTGCTGGTTGGCAGTGGTTCACACACTGCTTTCAGATGACTTCCCTTTTTTCAACCACAAGTTTTCATTGACATGGAGGTTTGTGTTCATGGAGTAGTTTTCATCTGTAGGAGAAACATGGGGATCATAAAGGACAAAGTTTAGATCCTAAAAGTATGGATATTTGTTTGTTACTGATTGCAGAAGGCCATATTGATGTCTCTTTCAGATTGTCTCTAAAGATGACACACCTTATCTTTTTAGCAGGGAAGATGTTCCACCATCTGGCATACACTGGCTGGTCAGGGTTTGCAGAGAGGATTTGTTTTTTCCTACGCACTATGCTCCGTTTCCCAGACTACAAATTCCTGCAAACGTGGCACCAATGAACAATAATTAATCCAGCTTTTTAATGGATTTAAGATGAAAATAATACAAATCCATTTTGTGCATCAATACCATAGTCAGCATAACTAAACCCTTGAGTATGATGCTGGCAACTCCATGCTTTCCTATTGGAAATTCATTTATGCTTTTGACAGCCCTAATTTGACTCGTCTCTACACACTTCAGTTCATTTATGTCTCAGTTTTTTTCTTCATCTGAGCATAAATCTGTTCCCTGGAGAATCCATGTAAGCATCTGTTTATTAAACGCTTTTGGTCTTGGTGGCTCCTGGGTTAGGAATACAGATTAGAACCCCTGCATGTAGAGGTGAAAGTTTGGGTCAGGTTGATAAACTTGGACCCATGTGGATATCCCAAAGGGACAAAAACCTAAGCTGGAATAGTTTTGAGAGGCTTTTATTGAGCTTTCCAAATGGTCAAAGCCCGAACTCCACCCTATGAAAAATTAGTTACCACGGCAATGGCTTTTAAATAATCTTTTACTCTAAACCAGGAAGAAAAGCCAGATATGCAGGCAGCATTATACCGGTAATAGATTGCTGATGATGTGGCTATGGTGAAATTAGTGTTAATACATATTTAAGCCTATATGTAAAAACTTTAACTGAATCTCTAAGTTCTCATTTTTTTAAAAATGTTTAGTTGGATGTTGTGGTTAAAGAAGCATTCAAAATAACGTAATAAAAGTAAGATGTGCATCATAAGAGTTTACAGACATCTGATATTTTTGTGTATTATGAGATAACATCAGTCTGTCAGAAAGGAAATGTGAGGTTAAAGGATGAAGAGATAAAAGAAACGCGTAATAATATATATTTTTTTACATTAGAGGTTAAAGTTAGCATGATGATGGTAAACCACCAACAGCCACCATCCGATTACTCAAACTTTGCTTTTGAATCATAACTAAAGTGCACATGGGCAAGCCGGGTGTTTACCGACTACTGCTTCTCATCAAGGCACTTAAAATGTCCTGTTAATGAAAAAAATGTATCGATCCTAAAGGTTGTGTCCTGGAGATACCTGAAATGGATTTGTCTTAATGCCAATGAGTATTTGTAGAGGTCAGCAAGACCATATTTTTATATTTATTTCTTAAACTTCATGCATAATATTTTTTCATTTTTTTTACACAATGGAATGGTAACATGTGTGGAACTTTAAATGTAAAAGTACCCTCAGCCATGAGAATAAGTTGACTAAATTAGTTTCCCTTGTTTCCTCAGTTTTGCATTGAGTGCTTATAGTGTCATTGTGTGTGAAGTAAAAATGAGCACAGAGATTGATATAAGGAAGAAAAATCTTATTTCATTCTGCAGAGAAGAACGACAGGAAAAAGCTGAATACAGCTCCCAGTGTGGCTCTGGGGTGGTGGCATCCCACCCCTGCATATAAAGAGACTCCACACGCATGAACATTGTTTCTTCAGCTCAACAACGACATACATTTAGTCAGATAAACACTTCAGACAAACATACCAGAAACAGGACGTGAGAACCTTGAACGCAGTGAAGACATTCTTATCTAAACTAAGGAGAAAACTTTCTTTTTCTCAGGCTTCTAAATAATCACCCTATTCAGGCAGAGAAAAAGGCACACTTTTAAACATTTTATCTTACAAACAGGCCAAGGAAAAATATGATTCCACATACATAACCCAAAGTCTTCTTCTGATTGATCTATGTGACCCTTGTGAAGTCTCCTTGTGAAGGTGCACTGCTGACAGAAACCTGGGGTCCAACTCACACAATGACTGAACCAGACAATCCATCAGGAAGGTTTATCCACACTAAGTCATACTGTTTTCTACGGTCATACTTTAATGTAAAGTCCCTGCAAGACTTTTTCATGTTTTTCTTCCACACCATGGAGGCATGCTTTGTGTTATTCCTTTAACCCTCTTTAGAATATCTTGCTTATATAATAAATCTGTTCCATGTCAGTTGTACCTCATCATTTTCTAGTTGTGATAGGAGCTGCCGTTTGCAGATGTTAGAACACTGAGCTGGGAGTTGTTTTTTTGTCAGTGTCGATGATTGGTTTTGAAGCATCCATAGTATATCCCATAATCTCTGTATGTAATCTCTCTCAATGGGATTGCTTGTATAGTAGCATTTCATCAGGTCCAAGTTTTCTGGTCTAGTCCATGTATGTCTTTTTCCAGTAGCCCAAAGAACCTGGAAGTGAGTGCCAGACAAGTTGCCCTGGTTCCTTAGCAACTGACGCGGACCTTGTTAACCCGGGCGACGAGCCGAGCAGGTATGGCTCTTGTATTTGCGGTTTCCACTAATGCCTTGAGGTAGGCCCTAAGGAGGTAGGAACTAAGGACCTTGCCTAAGGGTCCACCTGGATGTC